TGTGTGTGTGTGTGTGTGTGTGTGTGTGTGTGTGTGTGTGTGTGTGTGTGTGTGTGTGTGTGTGTGTGTGTGTGTGTACTGACTGAAGTGGACTGAAGCTGTTTTATTGTTTCTGATGTTGATTGATCAGTGATTGATTCGTGATCAGTTTGTATCTTTGTTGGTGTAAATAAAGCTTTAAATTCCCTTCAGAAGTCAGATGTGATGTATGAGAACCGAGTCCAGCTGCTGGTCCTGTCTGTGACCCGTCAGGACTCTGGACCTCTGGTTCTGTGGTTTGTTCTGCGCATGTGGATGCTCTATCAGACTGAGACCGGGGAGTTTGGAGGCTGGTTCCACCTCGAGCTCTTGGTTGTGTTCCTTGAGCACAGTGCATTTTAATCTGCTCTAGAGCCTGGTTGGTTCTGGTCGGGCCCTGAACTGGCCCATCCTGGTCAACACAGCTCCCCTGGAAGGTGAAGCTCTGACTTCCAGTGGTGTTGTTGGGCCGACCAGCAGCAGGTTCCTGGACTCAGAGCCACTGGATCTTCAGAGGTTCCAGCTGGGAGGAGTACCAGAACTCTGCAGGGATCCCACATGTCATCCGACCTGAGAACTCAAGCTGCAGAGGAACATCTGGAACCATCTGCTGAGGTCCCTCCAGACCTGAGCTCTCTATCTCCAAGGCGGAGCCCAGAACCCCCACAGAGAACCCTGAATCGTGACCCAGCTGGCAGCGCTGCCACCGGCCCCACTGCACTGACCCGTTCCAGGCCTTTCCAGGCCTTTCCAGGCGGGTTAGCACAGGTCTAATCCTGCCTCTATTCCTGGCTGCAGACCAGCTGGGAGCTGTGATCTCTGAGGATGGACCTAATCCAGATCAGGATTAACAGATCAGCACAGAACCAACAGCCCACTGAAACGCTGCAGCTCAGAACCGCAGCGTACACTGAAATCTTAGAAAGACCTCAGAACCACACAAACCAAACAGAACCATGAGCCTTCAGATTGACGGAACAGGTGCTGACCAGAACTGGACCAGAGCTGATCCAGACCAGGTTCCAGTTCAAACTACAGCTACTGATCCACACTGTGGAGGTCTGGCCACCATGACAGGAACCTCCAGGACCACGTCCAGGACCTGAAGATCACATTTGCTGGTTCTGGTTCTAGCATGAGTTTGGACTCTGTGGTCCTGGTTGCTCACAAGAACATCGGCCCGATTTCACATCTAATATTGATCAGATCAAGGTTCCTGATCGATAACATCTCTGATCAAAACTCTCCCCAAACACCAAGAACATAAACCGCCTGACCGCTGAAACCTGGTCCCGATCAATAATCAATGCTGTTGGATTATTGGTGATCGGTTTGTCCNTGAAGAAAGTCATAGAAAATTCCGCCTCTCATTATTGTGGTGTTTAGCAGATATGAATAATGTTGGTGATGCTGACTGAGCTGGAACAGGAACCAGGAACAGTTTGGTCTGGTTTGATGTGAGAACCAGAGGCTTCCTGTCTTTCTCTACAGCCGAGGTGAACTCCTGGTTCCAGCTGTGTCTGAGTTATAACAGGACCAACTGAGCTCTGCTCTGCAGATCGCTTCATTCATCCTGGACGTGGTGAACTTCAGGTGTCTCGCTGTGTTTCTGCTCTGACATGAAAACTGCAGAGAACGTCGTTTCTGCTGAAGTTCAAACAGCAGAGTGTTTGGTTCCCCGCCGTAGAGCAGGAAGCTGCAGCTGATGACGGACAGACGCTCGTCTTCGTCTCCTTGTACATTAGAGCGATACCTGCTGAGACCAACTGTAGTTCTGACTGTCTGCAGAGCCGGCAGCAGGACGGTTACCATTGATCCTCTGGGACTGGTGTAGCAACCATCAGCAGGTCTGCCTGTACAGAGCATGATGGTGAGGGCCCAGCCTGAGCACACATCAGCAGAAGGTCGTCCTCTGTGACGCCTCTAAATCTCCTTCAGTCATCCAGAGCAGTGGACAGTGAGTTAGAACCCAGCAGCAGCACTGCTCGGCCACATGTGATGCTGAGACGTGACCAGCGGGGGGCGCTGCTGGTCCAGCTGTCAGCCTCCACTGGGCCACACACACAGCAGTCTGCAGGCCAACGCTGAGGAGATGTGGTGGTGATCAATAATCAATAATCAATGGATTCCTGTCTGTCTGTCTGTGTCCAGGTGGAGCAGTTCTGGAGGTTCTACAGTCACCTGGTCAGACCAGGTGACCTGAGTGGACACAGTGACTTTCACCTGTTCAAGGAGGGAATCAAACCCATGTGGGAGGTAACAGTACTGCAGTAATACCACAGCCAGTACTACAGTGTGCTGCAGTACTCTGATACTGTCTCCTCCCCAGGACGAGTCCAACCGCAGCGGAGGGAAGTGGATCATCCGTCTACGTAAAGGTCTGGCCAGTCGCTTCTGGGAGAACATCATCCTGGCCATGCTGGGAGAGCAGTTCATGGTGGGAGAGGAGATCTGTGGAGCCGTGGTGTCCATACGCTTCCAGGTACTGCTGCTGCTACTGCACTACTACTACTACTACTACAGTACTACTACTACTACTACTGCAGTACTACTACTACTGCAGTAATGCAGCCTCTGTGGAGCCACGTCAGACTGAAACAGGTTCTGTAGCTGGAACCATGAACAGACGTCAACATTCAATGAAACTATGAAGAGAACCCTGTCTACAGATGGTTCTGGAGGTAAACCGGTCCTTCCATCGTCTAGAACTGGTTCTGACCAACCACCATCACACATGCTGACATGAGCCTGGAAAGTTTACCCAGAATGCACTTTGTAAAGTTTCCTCT